TATATACATATGTATTATAATGTGTGTCCAGTGGTCTACTCACATAATGGGCACGTCAATAGCCTCCAAATCGTCGTCGTGTGTGTATAGCAGTGGTTCAAAGTAGTAGAAGACATCGGGGCTGAGTGCCAATAGACTGCCTGTGTACGTTGAGCCAGATCTGTGACAGATGATTATTTGCACGTTGTGACAAAATAGAGTGTGTTATAGGCCTCGGTTTGGCCTTCCAAAATTCAATGTGGCAAACATTTAAAACATTCAGCCCGTGAGTTGTTTATATTCAGCCGGTGACAACTCACGAGAAGATTTCCCGTGTCAGTAGGCTAGAGGGAAGACAGAAGAATTCAGACGAGCTGGGCCCAGCGAGGAGGAACACGAAACTGGATCCATCTTACTTACTTTTACTTTTATCCGCCGCTTATACCCTTTTGGGTGTCGCGGGAAGAAAGAGACGTATCTCTGTCGCCAGCCGGAGAGCTTGGTTCAGGGGGATGCCGTGAGTTGTTAATGTTTCCCTGACTCCATCTATCCAGGTCATTCTCGGCCGCCCTCTAGCCTTGTTGCCATCGAATTTTTGGAGGTAGGCACGTTGTGCTGGATGGTGTGTTGGTAATCGTAGGAGATGTCCGAACCATTTGATTCTTTGGTGTTTGATGTGATGCGTGACATCTTTTGTGCCCACCATTTCTCGGATTACAGAGTTTCTAATTTTGTCTCGCCGACAGGATCTATACCTACTTCTAATACAGGTTAGTGAAATTAATCTTACAAGTGAAATAGTAGAAATTTTACAGTTCAATCGACATTAGGTAGATTCTAGATCTAGATTATATGATTTAGGAGGCGTTCTGTTTTGAAAATAATGGTTCAAAGTAGCGGAAGACATCGGGACTATGTTCCAATAAACTGCCTGTGTACAAGGAGCCCGATCTGAGACAGATGGTTATTTGCTCGTTGTGACCAGAATCTCCGTGTCCCTGTGGCAGATGTTTTTTTAATGTGACAAAATCTCTACAGTGTATTCATAAATGGTGATTAATAACTTGTGAGTGTCCATTGGAAGAATAGAATCTGAAGGAATTGATCGCTTTGTGGCACATAGATTTTTTAAAGTTGTGACGAGAACTCTGTTTATGAATAGAGGTCAATAAAGGATGTGTGTCTAATTAGAAGGGCAGAAAAAACCATAGATCTACACCTATATTATAATATCCTAGATCATGCATTCTGACGTAATCTCGTTTCACTA